ACAATGGAAATTTGTTAAAATTATCTTTATTAAATAAATAATACCATATACAATACGTAAGAGAAATTGGAAAACAACGTGAAGAAGACCAAGTTAATATAAAAAGCAGCTGGCATCTACTCAAAGAGAAAGGCGCATTTCAGTGTCGAAACGCACGTCGAGTAGACACTAGCTGTGTCTCTCTCTCTCTCTCTCTAAAAGAAAAATGGCCAGTCCTAACACACAATACTTCTCTATCTATTCTTTCTTCATCCTCCTTTTCTTAACTGTTTAAACCCTTCATGTCCACTATCTCCCCGTTTCTCAATCTGTGGCAATGTTTAATATCTTTTTTTTTTTATTCCTATTTGTCCTACTGTACTTTTTGCAACATGGGGGGCTAGTCTGATGGCAGACACGCTTATAGCAGAAACCATGGGCAGCAGCAAGGTGAGTGGCTGGAGCACAGAGAGACACCTGTAAATTTCTGGAGTCTCTGTTCTCCCTGCCTGAGAGTAATGAGAATGAGACTCCAGAACTGTCTCTATAAAGCTAAACAAAAGCCCCATATCGCAAACTCCCCTCACAGTTCAACATACAAGCCCATAGCACCGATCAGACCAGCACCACTCCAGATCAGATTACTAATATACACTTACTGGGGTGGCTTGGAATGTCCTCTCCCTCCCCAACAATGAACACGCAGTGCTAAAGGCGGAGATGGTATTCCTGCTCTTCTCACACACAGGAACAGGGTGCAGGAGCGGAAGCAGGTCTGTACAGAAAGAGGCACAGTCCTGCGAGCGCTTCTAAACGCTGCACTTAAAGTGGTATAGCTTCGGTATGTGCCAGTTCGGCGAACTTGTGAAATTTTAGCAACAGGTTTGCACAAACCGATGGGAACTGGTTGAATCACACCACTCCATCTAACCACTAAGTCTTTAAACTTGGAATTATAACTATTGTGTAAACTTAGTCTATTTATTTGTTTTTTTTTTCTCTTTGGAGACCATACTCCTTTGATAAAGTGGAATATAGAACCCCCTAGTACTATACATATTTTCTTCCTATTTAATGTTTTGTACCATAGTACTGGAATATTGTTTCTCTTTGTCTGTACTCTTGTTACATTGACTCTATGTAACAGAGTGTCAGATGGACACATTACAGTAATTCTATAAACCAATTGAAAAGAGCTCCAAGTATATGGAATAGGTGCAAGATAAAGGTATCAAAACTTGGATGGCTCTAAGAAAATATAAAATTTGGAGAAGGAGAGTCATTTTCACCGAATTATCCCTACCTAACCATGAAATTTCCAGACTACACCACCTCTCAAGATTGTTCCTAAAATCGGACCAGACCTTACCCAGGTTATAAGAATGCATCTTGGACAGGTTCTTGCATAGGTTAATGCCCAGATAAGAGAGATAAGAGTCCCTCCAATCGAAGTCAAACCAACCTTTCAAAGTGTCTAAATCATACCAAGGTATGTTGAACGAGAGAGCTTGAGTCTTAGCTGTATTCAATTTATAGAACGAAATTTCGCTGAATTCCTGCAGGAACGACATTGACTGAGTAAGTGAAGCCATTGGGTTTTTAAGCGATAACATTATGTTGTCTGCAAAAAGGCCTATTTTATGTTCCTTACCCCCTACTACAATAACTTCGATATCTGCGCTGCAGCATATCATCTCAGCCAGGGGTACAATTGCCAGCACAAACAGGAGTGGAGACAATGGGCACCCCTGTCTGGTCCCATTGGACAATGAAAAGTTTTCGGAAATAAAACCGGTCGCAGATACTCTGGCAGTTGGTTGACAGTATAGTGCAAACACAGCCCTGATGAAGGGATCTGGGATGTTAAAACGCAACAGAACTTCTTTCAGGTAATCCCAATGGATCCTATCGAATGCCTTCTACGCATCCAAAGAGAGTAGCAAAGAAGGCGTGCAAGTAAATTCAAGATGATTAATCAAAATAATGAAACCCACCTAGTAATTAGAGAAGGAAGAAGTAGATTAAGTCTATTAGCTAAAAAAATTTAATAAATCTTTGTGTCATTGTTAATTAATGACATGGGACATAAATTTGAGCAGACATTAGGTGTTTTACCAGGTTTGGGTAACATGATTATCTGTGCCCACAAAGCCTCCCCTGGTATTCCACCTGTGTTCCAATAATGATTGAATAGATGAGTTAAATAAGGAGTAAGAATGCCAGAGAAAGACTTATAGTACATCATGGTAAACCCATCAGGCTTCTGTGCTTTGCCTTGTTAGATCATATAAATGGCATCTATAATTTCTTTTGAGGTGATGGGAGAATTTAAAATATCCAATTTATCCATAGGTATCTGTTTTAAAGAGACCGTGTCCAGAAAAGAGTATTGGGTAGTATCGAAGTGGGATCGGAGACCAACTTGTACAATTTTTTGTAGTACACCGCAAACATATTGCTTATCATAACCGGATGAGTTACTTTAACGCCATTCTCATCCAGTAAATGCTCAATTCTGGATTGGGAAGTAGCGTAGTTTAGAGGCTAACATTGAAGAAGAACTATTCACATTCGCATAAAAAAACCTGTTTCAATCTCCTCAACATCAAGACCTTGTGTTCCAACTGGAAAGCATTAATTTTAACTTTAATATCTGAAATCTTTGCAGCAAAGGGCAAGGAAGGGAATTTTGTTAGTTTGATTCAAAGTATACAATTCTTTTTCTAAATCTCTCAAATTTTTAGACCGAATTGTATTATATTGTATTGTATAAAATGTCCCCCAAAGACTGCTCCATGAGCATTCCACAACGAGGTATCCTGCAAATTTAGAGTAAGCTAATATAGAGTAGAGAATACATTTTCCCTAAAATAATTATTAATTGCTGATTCAGCCAATGTTTTATTCTTAAACTCAGTAACTAAATAATCACTAAGTCTCCACTGTCTGTTTGGGTTCGACTGGAAAGACTCCTCTATACACATCGTTATGGGGGCATCATTGGACCAAGTAATGTCCAAAACAAAGGTATGTGTAATGGAGCTCCAGTACTCCAACCGAGTACCTCCGTTGATGTATGCTCCTAGTGCTTCCCGAGAGCTCCAAGCACTTCTCCAGACACCATAAGCACTGCAGACCGAAGCTCTCTTTCTGTAGAGAGCAAAGCTGGAACAAGCTCTTAAAAGAGCTTAGTGATTATAGCTAGGGGAGTATAGCAATTCCCCAGTGTAAATTCAGCCTTTTCCCCCCAATCATGAGACAAGGCTCTATGTTGAGGGTCAAAAAAGAAACTCCGCAGTCTGAGGGTTTATTGTCTTATATGCAAGTTGTTACAAAATGTTACCACCCACATGATCTTGTGGCACAGCCAATCAAATATATTATAATACGGTTAAACACTCCCAGTGAGGACACACAAACCCTCCCCTCTGCCTGTGATATAATTACTGTACACAATAGTCTAATGTAATTATCACAGGCAGGGAAATACAGTTTTTATACAATTCTTATATCCTTAAAAGTATACATGCAATATTAATAGAAGTTACATATTATTAACCAGTATATGTCAAATACAGACATCCTCAAAAATCAGACAATTCCCTCCAGTGGTTAAAAAGTTAGGTGGAAGTCATTTTTGACCGACAGCAAGCATGGCTTTCCTGCCCAAAAGAGTTCCATAGATTTGGGCTGTGCGGTCGGTCTATTTAAACTGAAAAATAACTAAGTTCCATTCAAATGCACGAACGGGGCACCGTTAGTGCAAATAGCTTAGTATAACTGTGTGTTCGAATCATCGAACGCACTTCGATTTCAGCCGAAGCGTCGAAGTGGAGGAGAAGGTAAGGGTCAGCAGTGTTCGTGCAAATGTGTAGCCAATTTTAGTTCCATGGATCTGACCGCACACACCGCTGACCGCGTTCCACTAATAAAGATGGCCGCTTCCATGTGTTCGACTGTACGAACGGCGGCCACCCAGCGGTCAGCAATTAACCTGCGGTTAACCGCCATCCTGGGAGGTAAATTGCCTGCACACTTCCTCTTGCGTGTGGTCCGCCTGTGCAGTAATTGGTTCGGTAAGCCCCTTTTACCGAACCAAGTGGGAAACAGACACGTACAAGTTATTTTCACAGTCTGGAGACTCTGGGGACACAATATTAAAGAGGCATTGTTCCAAGTCTCACTATGTCCCAATAACGTGCTTAAAGGGCCAGCACCAGTCCCATAAAAGTCCATAAGCCCAAATAATGTTTTTAAAGGGCCATACACCCCAGGGCAAGAGGCTGGAAAACAGACCTCTCCAGGACCAAGTGGCAAAGGGCACTTCGTCACAGTATGATATTCTCACCCACCAAGAACCTGTTGATCCGAGAATACATGTTATAAACTGCTGAGTGATATGTATAGTATTTCTCTCCTTCATGCTGTACACGTCCACAATCAAATAGGCCATGAGAAAAAAATAAAAGTTTGGAACAATTATCAGCCAATTTTTCACTATTATGATTTTTATCAATATCAATGATCATATCCTAGCAATAGCTTGCAGCGCTCAATTCTGGCAGAAGAGAGGCAGGGACAGGCACCAATCAAACACGTTTACAAACAGATTGACTACTTGTAATTGGGGAACGCCAAGGCAAACCTGGCACCTTAACCACCACTGTGTGCTGCAATTGTTACAGTGATTGGAATTTTCCTGTCAGGATGGGGTCATTTTAATATGCAGGTGTTTGGTTTTCTATGTAATGGCTCAAGATTAGCTAAAAGTAGCTTGATAATTGAGGAGATATTAACCAAAGAGCAAAGTGTTATGCGGCATTATTCAATGATTCTCATAGAGAAGCATTATCCAAATGCTTCTGTCTGAAACATGAAGATTTTCAGTTATTTAAAATCTTCA